GAAGGGGGAAGCAGGGGCCAGGTTCCCTGGCAACATGCCCCCTGCATACGCAGTAGCTTTGAGGGGTACAACCCCACGCTGCTGCCCTCACTGCCTGCACCCACCCCCACCCCCTGTACAGATCTGGGAAGTGTGGGTCCCCCCCCACCGCCCCTCTGGAAGTGCAGGTCGCGCTGGGGAGCTGATCCCAACACCCACGCCCAAGCTTGCAGCAGGCAGCAGCAGGTGGGAGCTGGGTTCCACTCTGCTGCAGCAGCTGCTGCCTCCTGCTAGGGGCAGGGGGCTGCAGACCTGGGTCCCAGGCCCCGTAGCCCTGGCAGCTGGGGCCCCCTCTGGCAGGGCAGGGGGGCCATAGGGCTGGTGGGGGGAGTGGGAGAGGAACGAGCTGGGCCAGGGGGCTGTGGGGGAGGAGTGAGTATCTGTGTTCTTAAAAAAAAGAGCCTCCTTTTAATGGAATCAAATCACTATTGCCCAAAGTGATTCCAATAAGAGGAATCCACTGTATGCAAGGTGCTGGGGCTATAGTATTTATTCAGTTTAAGACTGAAACAAAAACAAATATAACTTTATTGAAATATGCATTTATTTGCTATATCGTATGTATCAAAAGCATAACATACTAAGCAAAACATTATCAAAAGATGTAGTTTCATTAGGCTTAAATGTACAACTCTTTTTCAGATTCATAAAATAAGATCTAGCCTTCTTGGGCATCTTGACAGTGCATCCACTGCTTCACTGAACGATATTTCTACTCCTGAGTTAATGTTTACCTGAGTATACATTTCTGTACCTTAGTTAATGTTTTTAGCTAGAGTTACAAGCAGTCTGCAGGGCTGTGAAATAGAAGCTACATTACCAGGAGCAGCTAACAGACAGCAGAACTGCAAAAGAAAGGATTGCTTGATTAGCAAGCATCAAGACTGTTTAAAAAGGAGAGAGGGTCATTAACACCTGTCAAATGAAGAGTTTAGAAGGAATCAGATGGATCAGAATAAGCCCTGGAGTCAATCGACTCCCTTGCTCTAGCCTGGATAGAGATGCTGTTGCTGCCGCCAGGCAGTTGGTTTAAAACTTGGGGTAGAGCAGGAATAAAAGGTGATAGGGTGAAACTGCCCCCCAGCCTGAATCTGCCTCTGCATGCATCCTTGCTCCCAACTGAGCAGAAACCTCCCTATTATGCTAGGCAGTCAGAGAGATGTAGGTTTAGACCCACCCTCTGGGTGAGAGGGCCTAGAACAGGGGTGAGCAATTATTTTGGGCGGAGGACTGCTTACTGAGTTTTGGCAAGCCATCGAAGGCTGCATGACAATTAATCTGCCCCTGGCTGCCTTCCTAAATTTTTTAGGGGCCGCATCTGGCCCGTGAGCTGCATTTTGCCCACCCCTGGCCTGGAACCTGGATGAGCACACTAACTAACTACTAGGCAATTAAGCCAAAACAGTGGTGCTCAACCACCAGCCTGTGTGGGCCAGATCCAGCCTCCATCTCTGGGTGATATGGCCCACAGGGCTCCCTATGAGTCAGAAAATTTGGCAGCAAGGGAGCAGTAGCACCACTCTCCTGCTGCCAAATTTCCAGACATCTGGGGAGCCCTGCAGGAAGGAAAGCATAGCCCTACATGCTGGATCAGGCACACTGGGCAGCATAGGTCCCAGTCCTGGCACGTAGGACTGAGCAGACACGGTGCAGAGCCCTGAGGCCCAGTCTCAGCACAAGAGCCCAACTCCCAGCATACAGGCCCTGAATCTAGCACATGGGGCCTGATCCTGGGAGCCAGGGACAGCACAGGGCCCTGGATCCCAATTCTGGCATGCAGGGGTGGTGCAGGGTATCAGGGCCTGATCCTAGTACATTGGGCAAGTCTGGGACCCAATCCAGGAACCCAGTGCATGGCCCAATCTGGCCTGTGGACTGGCCCCGCGCCACTCATCTGGCCCACAGAGGCAGAAGGCTGAGCACCACTGTGCCAAAACATGGGAGAGCTGCTCTTTCACCCATTTTTTGCCAGGCCAGAATGTCAGTACTTACACTCCTATACACACATACAGAGTACCTGCTTACATGTCCACACTGAACATGGAGTAGGACTGAAAATTATGTGTAAGTGCCAAAAATGGTAGTTCTGCATCCAGGTAACTGCCACTTGGGCATGTAAAGTGAAACCAGATTCTGCTTCCACTGTTCACCAATATTACTGACAATAGTTTTGTGCACAGGAGGCAAAAATGATGGGTAAAATCCTGACCTCATAATTTGAATGGGGCCATAACTTCATTCAATGTCTTTTAAAAAAGTCAACAACAGCAATGATAGTAAATACAGCACAAATAACTTGGCCAAACCAGAATAATTTTCATTACAGCCCTTTAAAAAGGCCTATCATTTATTATATAGAATTACAATTAATAAATGGGCTAAGCTTGAAAATAAATTGTGCTTATATTTGTGGGAACCTAGATACAAAAGCTAGCTTACATGTTAGCATAATAGAAAAAATTAAACACATATGTATATAAACCATAATTACTACTTTTCAGAGGAAATTGGGAATATTATAAATTGCTGTTTTCCTAGGTTAAAATATAAAGCCAACAAAAGAACTACAATTGATGGAGAGTCTGCAGATGCAGTAAGCAGATAACTTCACCATAATGACATTTAATATTAACCAAGACAAGTTAATGAATACTTTACTAAGGCTTAATGGAGTATGTTCTCTAAACAAGAAAAGCCAGTAATGACATGAGGCACTAAAATTAGCTTCAGCACAGCTAGATATTTTTTGATTATAGTCATATTTCAAACAAAAGTATTTTTAAAATTGTACTTACCCTTGGAAAAGGGTAGGGTAGGTGAATTTCAGGACAGACAGGACATACTGGAAAACAAATACCAAGTTAATGGACATCAGACAACCAGGATGCTACAACATTAACAAACAGTTGTGAGAGCAATGGAATACAAAAAACTCCTATGAAAAAGGGATTAAGCAAGGAATTTGGAAAGCAATTCAGTAACACCTATTCCAGAGGCGAACTCTTCCCAGAGGTTCAGGTGTACAAGACCTTGCCTCAATCTGCACAGGAATTAGTGTCAGAAGAGTAAGAGTATCAGGACATGCATTGAAAAATTGAGATATTAAATACTGGACAGCTGTTACATTTCCTGGGAGTGTCTACACATGCACTTTAATGCACAGTAGCCTATTTTACTGCACATAGAGTGTCACATCAAAAATGGCGCTAATATGCTAATGCACAGTAAAATTTGGCTACTGCACATTAAGTGTCACTAAAAAAGTGTGCACTTTCACTACTGCTCATTAGGGCAGCCTAGTGCACATTTATTTTCAAGTACTAAATTTAATGCACAATAGCCAGGCACATTAATGAACATGTAGTCGCGCCCACCGAGCACCTTCTACACTTCTCACTGAATGAGGCAAGGGTCTGAAAGAAAAATATATGTAATACACAATTAAAACTGTATCATATGACACAGCCATCCTGGGTGGAGGTAAAACTACATTTTACCTTAGTCATTTCTTGACTGAATGCTGCACTTTGCAATCTGAGTCTTCTATACACAGTTTTGTGTGGAATATTAGCTAATGCACATGAAGTACTTGAAATATAGCATGTATAGGAGTAGTTAGTATTGGTGTTGTTTCTTTGGCAGGGTCTGGCAGAGCTATACATGTGGATACGAATACGTAGTGTGGTTTCACACAAGATCATATCTCCAAATACGGGGCTAATATCTGCCCTCTCCAATATTTGTACAATACCTAATAACTTGCACTAACAGGTTATCTTAACCCGGAAGACCGGAGCGCCCGATTGGCTGTTGGGGCAGCAGCGGGAAATTCAAACCGTGGCCTTTAAAAGCCGCGGTTTGACGTAGCTCCTGGCACTCAGGAGCCAGGAGTAGGGAGGAGAGGAGGGATCCAGGCCCATGTGTGTCCCGCATGCATGTGTGCCCCCTTACCTGACCTGAAGGGGAGGCGGATGCAGCAGCAGTGGAGCCAGCAGTGGGGGCAGCAGCAGCTGATCCCCCTAAGGTAAGTGGGCAGAGGGACTAGATGCAGCTGAGCCAGATCCGGAGGGGAAACCCCCCGGATCCCTCTTAGCTAAGCCGGTAAGGAGCCGCGCTCCCGAGCCGCGCCGTGCGAACAGAGCACACAAACAGGCATGCTTTCTAAGAGCGCGCCAGCGTTTGTGTCGGTGGGCAAGCAGGAAGGGCCAGGAGGGAGACTCCTGCTAGCGCAGGGCGAAGGCACCGCACTAAGCCAGAAACAAGCAGCAACTCCTACAATGGTGTCGACATGGAGGGCTGCCAGGGTCCCTGCCTGGGGGGCGCAGCCTACCTGGGGCTTGTCTGAGGCCTCCACCCAGACAGAGGCCATGGGGGTGCTGATGTCCCCCCACCCCGTGGCCTGCAGGAGTTGCCCAGCAAGGCCCGGGGGGGCAGGGATTGGGGACCCCCACACCTGTCCTGCAGGCGCCCGCCTTAGGGCCCTGGAGGTGCAGGTGAGGGAGCTCCAGGAGGAGGTTATCAGGCTGAGGGGAATCAGGGAGGCAGAGGATGAAATTGACAGCTATTTCCTTTCCCTGCAGGGCCACACACCCAAGGAAGAAGCACCTCGGGGAGTGCCCTCCACTGCAGAGTGGCAGACAGTCACCTCCAGGACCAGGGCTGCTTGTAACACAGCAGTACCAGTTCCTCCAGTCCAGCTGGAGAACAGGTACGAGGCCCTGGAGGAGAAGGAAGGAGAGGAGGCAACCAGAGAGAAGGCAACTCCATGCTCTCCACGATCCGAGCAGGCCAAAGGAGCCATGCAGTCCCGGAGGAAAAAGCGTCGAGTAATCATCATAGGCGACTCCATCCTGAGAGGTACAGAAGGCCCCATCTGTTGCCAGGACCCCTCGACACGTGAGGTCTACTGCCTACCTGGAGCAAAGATTCAGGACGTGAAGGGGATGATCCAGGCTGTGATCCAGCCCACCAATTACTACCCCATGGTCCTAATCCATGTGGGTACTAATGATGCGGCCAGGAGATGCCCTGATCACCTGATGGCGGACTACCATGCTCTGGGGGGCGTGCTGAAGGAAATAGGCACACAGGTGGTTTTCCCTTCTGTCTTACCAGTGAGTGGACGTGGAAGACAGCATGCGACGCGCATCACAGAGACCAAGTGGCGGCTTCAGAAATGGTGTCTTGACACAGGCTTTGGCTTCCTCGACAACGACCCGCACATCACGACAAGAGACATGCTCAGATGGGATGGGCTCCACCTTTCCCCTAAAGGTAAGCGTGTGTTTTCTTCCAGGTTGGCGGATCTCCTCCGGCGGGCTTTAAACTAGGCTCGTTGGGGGAAGGGGAAGACGAGGGAGGAGGAAGCCTAGGACTGCCAAACCAAGAAACACCCACAAATACAGCCCAGCCTAGATGGATGAATGGAACATATACACAGGAAGCAACAGGGGCCAGGGCAATGCTGAGGTTAGGGGGCCAGTGCACACATCCTCAGGAGGCTTCAAATGCCTCTACACAAATGCTCGTAGTATGGGAAACAAGCAAGAGGAATTTACCCTCCTGCTAGCTGACACCAACCCAGACATAGTGGGGCTCAATGAAACGTGGTGGGACCCAACGCATGACTGGGTGTGGATATCAAAAGCTATAGGCTGTACAGGAGGGATAGGACAGGGAGGCAATGTGGGGGCGTGGCGCTCTACATTAAGGAGGAATACATATCTTCATCAATTAGCAAAGAATCAGAGAGACTCTGGGTTAGAATACAAGGCAGTCGAGGGGAAAGGGATTTAACGGTGGGGGTCTACAACAGACCACCCAACCAAGGGGAAGAGCTAGACCAGGAATTCTTAAGTTAGCTCACGGAGGTAGTTAGGTCAAAGGATGTGGTCATCATGGGTGACCTGAACTTTCCAGACATCTGCTGGGAAGAGCAGTCAGCCAG